AAAAAAAAAAAAGAAAGAAAGAAAGAAAGAAAGAAGAGAGAGAGAGAGAGAGAGAGAGAGAGAGAGAGAGAGAGAGAGAGAGAGAAAGCAAGCTGTCTACAAGCTGCAAGGTTCAGGTGCTTCCTCCCTACAACCCTCAGGGCTTTCCTTTGTTATCTCTAATAAACCACATCTGGTGCAGTCATGCCAATGTCACTGTCTGTCACCCTCAGGACAAGACCCAGAGGGAGAGGGCTGGCTATGGCATGAGAACCTCACCTTGCTGGAGTGCTGTGTGAATTGATCTCATGGTCCAGTACAAGAGGCTGGAGTATGTGTTTGGCTGCCTTGTGTCCTGCCCATCTTAGTGTTCATTCTATGTCTTCTCACATTGACTCTGGATTTGGAAACCGTAGCAAACCTAAACTGGGAGCTTGAAACCTGTTCAAATATAGTCTACCTTCTCTTGGATCCTACCACAACCAACTGAAATGCCTGTGCTAATCTACTGAAAAGCTGAGACAGAGGCATCACTCCACACTGCACAGCCCAATTGACCTGCTTGCTGATGGCAGAGACATGAAAGAGCAGCAACAGAGCCACACACCCAATTGTAGAGCTGTATCAACAATAAGGGGAGCCGTTGAAGCCACTTACATTTTGGATGTTATGCAGCATTAGTTACAATTACAAATACAATGACCAGGGGCCTAAGCCAAAGACTATAGGGAGTTGAAAATGTAAATTAAGAGTGATTCGTAGAACATCCACTCATCTGCTGGTGGGCACATAGGACATTTCTGGTTTGTATCTAGATCCTCCCAACCCCAAAGCCCTATATGGTCATAGGACTGAATTATGGGAGTTTATAGGTGGATTTGTTTGGAAGAGGTGGGTCCCTGGGTCTGTGATCTGGGTCTACTTCTCTACTGCCCCTTTAATTCCTCTCTTTGGTTCTTGCCATCCTGTCATGGACTGTTTTTTCTCTGTCATGCCATCCTACCTTGGAGCCAGCTATTAACTGCCCCATCTACAACTATGAACCAAAATAAACCTTTTTCCTTTAAATTGTGGGTTTCAGATATTCTGTTTTAGTGATGAGAGAGAGAAAGAGAAGATTTTGGTACCACAGGAGTGGGGTCATTGCTGTGATACTACCTGACCATGTGATTTAGAAGACTTCTGAACTAGTTCGCAGGAGTCTGAAAACACTTGGAGGTGCTGGCTGGAGAAGCAGCCCTACTATGCTGTGAGCAAAGCATGACTGGAAAGCTTTGGTCAGAGTTCAGACCAGGATGCTGATAGAAATGCACCCAGTGCAGACAAAGCCCGGGAGTTTTAGCTGGAAAGAAGTAATCTAAGTAGCTAAATTAGATAGAAACATAGCAGCCAGGCAAGGCTCCCTCAGTGGAGTCACTGCAGAAGCTGAGAACACATTAGGACGGTAGCTGGAGGCACATCTGAAGATGAGAGTACAGTGGCTAGATTAACATACTTCCCTAAGGGATGGATAAAGCAGGGGGGGGAGGGTGGACCTTTTGAGATTTTTTGTATCTCATTAGGGATGGACCATTCTCTCCTGGGCACTGAGACTAAGGTTAAGGCACAGGCAAAGAAGACTAAGACTGACTACAGTGTATAGACCAAAGTTAACTCATATGCCCTTGCTACTGTTGGATCAGTATTACCTACATATCTTGTAATTCTATTGGCTGATCATAACTGTGGACTCATCCCTTGACTTGGCTCTAGAAAGCCTCCCATGTAAAGTTGAGTCTGTGACAAACCACCTTCCCAGTCCCCTTCTGTCTCTCAGGAGCTCTCTCAATAAAATGTCCTACTCAACCTCTGTTGTTCCTCAGAATTCATTGTTTGATTTGGGGGAACACAAACTCAGGGCACCAGACACCCAGCAGGTTTGAAGTTATAATAGTTCCCTTATATCATTTGGAGGCCCTAGAGCAGCAGAACTCCATTGGCAGCTGGACTCAAGGTCATATTATTATTCTGACAGAAAATTTGCCTGTGAGAGACTCCAGCACAAGCATAAACTGCTAAGTTTATGGCCCTGATTCAACATGGCTGAATCCCAAAAACAACAGCTTATCTTACCAATGACCACTCACTCCCTCTTCCCCATGCCAGCCCTGAATACAGATTCCTTTTACATTTCCTACACACAAGGGAGACCCCAATCAGTTCCTTACGTGTCTGAACCTGCCCCTCCAATTCTGCCCCTAGCAGAAATTCATAAACTCTCAGCCACCCCTCTGTCTCATGTCAGAGGTTCCATGCCATCTCCACGTTCCTCTCCACGTCCTCAGAGTCAATACCTGCCCCCACCCCACACACTCCTTTTTACTTGTTCCTCTGTCTCACCAGAAAAACCTAACAGTGCATTTTTCTCATGTCCAGAGACATTGTGGAAGACTTAGGTTAAGGGTGGTAAACTAACAAATCTGGCAGAAATTTTAAGTCACTTACTGTCAGATGTTGAGGCAGTAGCGTGGGGTACCGTTGGAAGCTTTTAAGCAGCTGTACCTTGTGAGTTAAGAGCAAAGGGAACAGCTAAATGTTTTTATAAGTTTTGAGTTTCAACAGCAAGGAAGCTCCTGTAAAGCTGGGGTCTGCAAAGATAGCAGAGAAGAGCTTGGTGGATGAACAAGTTAGCATTAAAAAGAAGCCCAAACCTGAGTCCTTTAACGGGACAATAGAAAGAATGTCTGAAGAAATGTGAGGAACCAGTCAGGTCTCCCCTTCTCAAAATTGCAAAAGTGAGTCTTGGCTCTGAGAAGAAAGCCTCAGGGCACCATGCTCCACAAGGCTGCCACTTAGGAAATTTGTTCCTTAGGATTCTGTTCCTAGCACCTGGCCATCCAGGCACTCAGAGACCCCTATAAGCTAAGACAGAAGGAATCCGGTCTATAGTCACAGCTGACAACAGTCTGTGATGCTGAGTTGAGGTGTGAACAGAATGTGCAGAATGCAAGTGTGAGGACTGAAGCATGCTCAGAGGTTGAGGGTTTGATTCCACCCCCCACCCCACCCCTCCCCTGCCGCAATGCCAGCCCCACCCCCAGGGGCAATTGAGATGGTGGCTCCCGCCTGTAATCCTAGCTCTCGGGAGGCTGTAAACAGGTGGATCACTTCGAGTCTGATCTAGTAGTGAGACCCTGAACACCC